AGCAAAAACAAATAAATGCTACTTTTCTCTTTTCTTTGCAAAGGGATAAAAATGTCACCTTCACTACAAATATTCTTTTGGAGGCCTACCACTATGCAAAATCTTCCAAGGCCCCTCTTTAGCAGTCTTAAGAGCTCATTTCTGAGACATAGGAAATTTTTTTTTTTTTTACTTTTTTTTTTATTCTTTATTGTTGAATGTATTACAGATGTTTCTCATTTTCCCCCCCATTGATCCCCTCCACCCCATTCCCATTCCCCTCCCGCCTTTTCCCACACTGTTGTCTGTGTCCATTGGTTATGCATATAAGTTCTTTGGTTTATTTCTTCTCACCCCCAACCCTCTTCCCTTTGAGGTTTGTCAGTCTAACAACCAATTTGTACTTCTTAATCCCTTCACCTTTTTCACCCATTCCTCTAACCCCCCTCCCATCTGGCAACCAACAAAATGTTCTCTCTATCTATGAGAATGTTTCTGTTCTTCCTGTTCATTTTGTTTGTAGATTCCATTGTCGATAGATATGTATTCATTGCCATTTTGTTTGTTCATATATTTTATCTTTTTCTTCAAAGAGACTCTTCATCATTTCATAAATAATGGTTTGGTGGTGATGAACTCCTTTAACAGTTTTCTTGTCTGGGAAACTCTTTATACGGCCATCGATTCTAAATGACAGTTTTGCAGGATAGAGTAATCTTGGTTGTAGGTTCTTGCTTTTCATTACTCTGAATATTTCTTACCACTCTCTTCTGGCCTGCAAAGTTTCTTTTGAGAAATCAGCTGACAGTCTTATGGGAACTCCCTTGTAGGTAACTAACTGCTTTTCTCTTGCTGCTTTTAAGATTCTCTCTTTGTCTTGAATCTTTTGCATTTTGGTGATGATGTGTCTTGGTGTGGGCCTCTTGGGGTTCATCTTGTTTGGGACTCTCTGTGCTTCCTGAACTTGTATGTCTGTTTCCTTCACTAGGTTAGAGAAGTTTTCTGCCATTATTGTTTCAAATAGGTTTTCGATTTCTTGTTCTCTCTCTTCTCCTTCTGGCACCCCCAAGATGCAAATGTTGGCACGCTTGAAATTGTCCCAGAGGTTCCTTACACTCTCCTCATTTTTTTGGATTTTTTTTTCTTTTTGCTGTTCTGATTGGGTGTTTTTTGCTTCCTTAGATTCCAAATCGATGGTTTGCTTCTTGGCTTTACCTATTCTACTATTGAATCTGTGTAAATTATTCTTTATTTCAGTTAGCGCCTCCTTCATTTCTGACTGTTCATCCTTCATTTCTGACTGGTCCTATTTTATGCTCTTGAGGCCCTCACTAAGTTCGCTGAGGTTTTCACTAAGTTCATTGAGCATCCTTATAAGCAGTATTTTGAACTCAGCATCTGTTAGGTTGCTTATGTCCATTTCGCTTAGTTCTTTTCCTGGAGTTTTGTTCTGTTCTTTCTTTTGGTACCTGTTTCTTTGTCACCTCATTTTGGCTGCCTCTCTGTGTTTGTTTCTGTGTATTACTTAACGAGAGGTATGGGGCTATCTGAGACCAGATGCTGCTTATTTGAAAGAATTTAGGAAAACCTGAAGCAGGATCCAAGACAGGCCAATCCTGTGGTAAAGCAACTGGCAACCGCTTGGGTGTGCCTGAAAGTTGGGTGGGGCAGGGCCTCAGGGAATCACCAGGGCGGGGCTACCAGTGTGAGCCAGGTTGCTGGAGTCCCAGATATGGCAGCTGTCTGCTGCCCCAGGGAAGGGCTCACCAAAGGAACAAAGGCCTCTGACATCACATCTGTCCAAGAGAAATCCCCCTCTCCAGCCCTCGCTCCAGTGCCAAACAGTTCAGTTCTTCCCTGTATGTCTCTGGTGCCCCTCGAGCTGCCTCCCCTCCAAGCTTAGAGGGAGTGAGTCTGATAAATCCGTGCACAGACCCTTTAAGAGGAGCTGCCTGGGGCTCCAGCTGCCTCAGCCTCCCTGAGATTTCCAGGCAGAAGTTATGGGGACTTCTCTTCCTGGCACTGGAATCCTGAACGGGGGCTCCTGGTGTGGGACAGGGACCCCTCAGTCCTCAGGGAGGACCTTCCCAGCTGAGGTATCCTCCTGATTTTCAGGACCGCAGGCCGACGCTCTAACCGCTGAGCCAAACCGGCCAGGGCGTATGCTCCTGATTTTTATCCACCACACGTGGGTGTGGGACCAGCCCGTCGCGCCTCTGCCCCTCCTACCAGTCTTGATGTGGCTGCTGCTTTAATTCCGTAGTTGTAGGACTTCCATTCAGCTTGATTTCAGGCGGTTTTGAATGATGGTTGTTCTGTAGTTTAGTTGTAACTTTGATATGGTTGTGGGAAGACTGATACTGCGTTTACCTATGCTGCCATCTTGGAAGCAACTTTATCATTTTCATCAAGAGGCTCCAGGGCCAAATGCTGGGGCACTTGTGAATGGTCCCATGACAATGCCACAGGATCTTTAAACCCCAGGCCTGGACAGGCTTGCGTGGCACATTGTGTTGCTGTGCTAATAGCAGTGGCAACCTGGGAAGTCACTCTTTGTCATTTGATGTGACCAAGCAAAACCAGGAGGCATTTGTTTCTAAATGTGCTTATCATTTATGATTTCATAATTAAATAGTTTCCTGAAAAGAACAGCTCTCCCTGGTGTTTCAGTATTTCCATATCAAAGTTATTTTGTACATAGTCATCTCTCCCACCAGACTATGAGCACCTCCTGGAGTCCAGGTTGTATTCACATTTGTGTTGGCCAGTGCCTGGCACAGAGCGTCTGACATGCCATAAATATTGTTTGACCAAATGATAATCAACATCTAATTCAGAGAAAGAAAAAAGAAATGGAGAGGGGGTTGGAATTTCCTGACCCATCTCCTATATCCCTATAAGGCTGTTCAGCCTTCACAGAACAAGAACAGCTATAAGAAAAGGCTGTTTTTCCAGGAAAGGTGTCCATCAGGGCAAAATGAGTACATATTTTGTGAGGCTCAGTGCAAAATGAAAATGCGGGTCCCTTGTTCAAAAATTAAGAATTTCAAGACACTGTCAGGGAGAGCATGAAGCCAAGCATGGGCCTTTCTAAGACTGGCAGGTTGCATGCCCATGACACTGGCCGTGCCGTAAAGAGTCATGAGAAAGAGTCACCCCGTGGAAAATCAGTGAGGTTCTTTAAGTCTGGAGGGACTGCAGGGTGCTCAGCCAATATAGGGTGTTACAGACCTGCCTGGACAGTAGTACTGTGGGCTCTAGGGACTCTATGCAATGAGTCAATAATGCCTAACCTGGAACAACCTTTTATCACTTATGAAGAGTTTGCATTGATCTCAGACCCTCTCTCCAGAGCATATTCCTCTTTCCCAAACCCACACACCTGCCTTCACACTGACTAACTGGCTTGCTCCCCCACTTCTCCTCGTTTTCAGTTTAACCCCAAGTCACCCAGGCCACCCCATCTAGCAACATGCCACATTTGTACTAAGCATCTCAGGGCTAACCTGTTTAGATGTTTCTTTTTTGGGTGATAGACAGTAGCTGCCATAATACCTGTTTTAGTCTGTTCAGGCTGCCATAACAAAACACCATAGTCTGGGTGGTTTTATTTATAGCAGAAATGTATTGCTCACGGTTCTGGAGGCTGCAAGTCCAAAATGAGCATGCCAGCATGGTTTGGTGCAGGGCTCTAGACTGTTTACTTCTGGCTGTGTCCTCACAGAATAGAAGGAGCTAGGGAGCTCTGTTGGGTCTCCTTTACAAGAGCGCTAATCCCACTCATGAGGGCTCCACCCTCATGATCTAATCAAGTTCCAGAGGCCCCACATCCTAATATCATCACATTGGGCATTAGGATTTCAGCATGTGAATTGTGCGTGGGGGGGGGGGGGGGCGGGGGGCGGGGCACAAACATTCAGATCATAACAATACCTAATTGAAGAACAATGTATATACATGAAGAAGGATCCCTTTATCTCATCCCCAGAACCTTCCCATTCCCCTTCCTTACCGTAAGAAGGAGTTTAGGGGACCATCCCAAGCACTCTGCAGAAACCCCTGTGCCAAGACACCCAAAGTCTTTCCTGACCCTGGACATGCACCCTGCCAGCAACCGAGCTTGTCTGGCCCCCCCAGCCTGTTCCCACCCTACACTGCATGCCGTACTTACCCTTGGAACTACAGTGAACCTCCAGGAAGTTTCCAGGTGGTAAGGACCATAGGTGGGGAACTTGAAACTTTAGCGAGCACTTTATGACTATTGCTTCCTCTTGACTGGGGAGGGGACTTGTTTCTTCTAGACCATTGCCTTCCCCCAACCCTTCATCCATCCCACCACTCTCACTACAAAAGGAGTCTTAGGGTTTACTGCTGGCCACTCTGCTCGTGGGAGCTGTACATGTTCTGCCGAAAGGTATGGGGGGGCCTTACAGTGCTAGAAGCCACCTGCCAGATCCGGCTGGTGACAGCTCCAGGCACCTGGCCCACATGTGCGAGGTCCCAGAGGCCAGGAAGTTGAAACATTGTCCAGCTGTCTCCCTGTGCTGGGGAAGGTGCCCAAGCACCCCAATATCTCAGGCGTGATGATGCTGACACGAAAACTCGCCAGTAGAGAGGCACACGTCTCTGAAGCGCTGAGCTTTGGAACCCATAGTCGATAGGGGAGTGTTTCTTTTGAATGGGGAGCAGCGCTGTGTAATTCAGAGATCATCTGTGAGAGCTGAATGGGGTCAAGTGGAGTTCGCCTTTGATCAGAAGAGTCAGAAGTCCCCGGGGATGTCTTTGCAATCTCCTGCTTAGCCTGGTAGCTGGGCTTTCTCAGGCCTCATTTGTCTCCCCGTGACTGATGTGGTCTTAATGACAGCAGCTCTGAGCTAGCTCCCTGCCCCCAAGCGTGCAGCCGGGTTTGTTTCCCAGGCGGCTGGAGCAGCCTCGTCGCCTGTCACACACTCTAGGTCTTTGCAGCCCCACCTTCAAACTCCTCACCCCTTACACACCGACCTATGTTTTCTTTCTCGCAGGGTCCCCGGTGGCACATAGACCTGCAGCCATGGGCAGGCCCTGCTCAGTCCCTGGATGAAGAAGCTTTGAGGTTCCTGAGATATATCAGCACCACCCAGGTTGTGTTTCATGTGCAAGGGGGTTTGGAGATGATGCAAAAGATACCGATTGCCCCTTTTGAAGAAGGATTTGTCAGTGAGGGGGTGGAGAGTCCTGATAGGACTTGAGAGGGGCATGGTTTCTGAGGCATAGCTGCTTACATTCATCCACACACTCAGAGTCAGGTAAGGATGCCTTCCATTTGCTTCAGCATCCTCTCCCCTCCAGGAGCATCGCCACCCTGAAATGTTTTAATGATTCATCCCGATGTGTTCTAAGGATCCACTTTAGGAAATTGCTTTGGAAAACCATTTGAAAAGACAGATTCGTGCCCACGGGTAGGCAGTCAAGTGTGTTACAAGACTAAACCCTCATTTGGAGGTTCAAGCTTCGTTTTGTATCTGGAGGAACCCGCCTATTTGCTTTTCTGCCACAGACGCTTGGCGGATGGGGACGTGCCAGGCAGAGAGCAGAGGAGACCCTGCAGGCAGTCTGAAGAGAAGCTTCTGCATCCAGAGGCTTCTGTTCTTTAGGGCACTTTGGATCGTTACTGAGCAGCGGCCTATATTAGTGACTTAACACACTGGGCCAGCTCCTGCTCAGCTCGCAGGCTGAGTCAGTGCCCCGAGCAGGCGGAGAGATCGTCCATTAAGGAGAGTCAATGACTCTTGACACGATAATCAGGAGGTTCCATCCTCAAGTAGCCTGATCCTGGGGAGAGAAACAGAAGAGGAAATCAAGGCTGGAGGGAGACTTGGCCCTGAATTGGGAGGTGCTAGTACATTAGCAACTCAAACCGTCTGTGAGGCATAGGCCCACTCAGGAAACCTCCCTACGAGCTGGTATGGCACTGGGGACCCCAGTTCTTTGATGTCCCATCAGCCCACTGGCTCTCGGCATTCCACTCCTCCTCCTAAATCTCACTAGCAACAAAGCCCATTTTTCATCCATGGGAGAGAATCAATTTCTAGATTTGTAGAAGACTAATTTAAGGGTAGAAGAAAGTCCCATTTCTCATGTGATGCAGTCAATCAGGGATTTTAATATTTGTCACCTAGACATGGAAGTAAAAGCTTGTTGAATTAATCATGAGTAAAAGAATGATAAATTGGTCTCTGTGCTTTACATAATTTTTATCTTATTTTGCTGCTACAGAATAATTTGGTGGACTCACATAGACTTAATTAAACTACTGAAATTGTAATTTTATGGTTTGGTTTTATGTGAAGGATAAGAAGCTGGACCTCTTAACTGCGACCTTAAGGAGCCCTTAAAGCCCCCGAGAAAACGAGAGATGTTAAATTCATGAGTTGAATTTGAGAATTATGGGCTTCACCCTCCCCCAAATAAACTGACCAAGTGAAAGTCCCTACATTCCATTTGATATGTATTGCAGGTTAATGTTCTATAACTTCTAAAAGGCATATTTACTTAGAAGAAGCTCTTGAGGATCAAAGGGTCATTTCAAACCCCTCTTGGGTCTTTCCCATGACTAATGGGCTTAGAGGAGAAAAATTCTAAAAAAGAATGAAAGAAAGAGAGAGAGAGCGTGTTACTATGTGCTCTGATGTTGTGACCCTGGGCAATTTAGTTTGCTTCTTTGCCTCTCACTGTTCTGATCTTGAAAAGGAAGAGTACTAAATTATTTCTAAGACCCTTCTCAGTTCTGTGACCTTGTACTCTGCTGAGAATAGTGTAGGATTGTTATTTTTTGAGCACCTACTATGTGCCAGGAGCTATACTAAGCCCTGGGGATATAATCTAAGCCACGAGGCTGACAAACCAGTTAGAAAGGCAGAGAAATGGACATACAGTGATTATCCAGCTTGGTGAGTACAATAATAGATATGGGCTTGATGAAGCTCATTAGGAGGATATTTGTTCTCCAGAAAGAGTGAGATAAACTTCCAGACCCCACAATGGTTTTATAATCAGGAGTCATTTTTGCCCAGGTTAAGTCCTGTGCTTTTATGTACTTCCGGGTCGCTTGGAGGCCAGCAGGTGGGAGCTCGTCAGAGATGACACTGATCTGTTCTTCAGTAGAATCCTTCACTCCCCAGTGCTCTCTCCCCCTCTCTATGTAATGCAGAGCTTTTTGGCTGCCTTGGGAGCTTATGCTTTATTTAGAACTCATTTTGAAAATGAAAATTTATAAAAGTGGTAGAATATTAGAGTCACTATTACCTAAAATTTTCAGTTAACGGAAGTGAGTCATAATGGGCAAGGAAAAGAAAATTAAATCTCTGAAGGTACTAAAGCAAATTCCACCCCCGTCCTCTTCTGCTGCTTTTTAAATTAAAAAAACAAAAAAACAAAAACCACACATGCACAACATTATTTCTCTAAAATCTGTGTTCAGACTTGTATAGCAAAGCCCAGCATTTGATAGGTTCATCATTGATTTATTCTTTCCTTAATTCAGTAGACATTTGTTGAGCTCCTGCTTTGTGGCTGGCACTGTGGTATCAGAGGCTGGGATACCAAACCTGAACTAAATACCCACTCACAGTGGTAAACAGCTAGGGTGCAGGAGAGTTGTGTGTTCTCTAGCAGGGTAGGTGGGTGGGTGGAGAAGCATCCCCAGCCCAGGGAGCTCAGGAACAGAAGCTCAGAGCATGGGACAGGGGGCACTAGCCTGCAGTGGCGATGGCACTCCTGGACTTGTGCATTGTGGTGACTCTGATGGCATGATTGGGGCCTGCACTTTGAATGAATCACCAGAGGATATGGTGTTTGGGTAGAGTATACAGAATATCAAGCTCCATTTAATTAGGTGTTGTTTTCTAAAGTGAAAGACCATGGTTAAATCTCTGAGTATTGGTCGATGATATGCTGCTGCTAACTAAGGGTTAAATCACAAACACAGTGCTCTGTTCTAAGGGAAAGCTCCAGATCCAGCTTTTTATGGCAACCCCCAAACCATATGCCTCCAGGAAGCATGCCTTGCAGTACAAAATTATCCTAAGCAACAGTTGCTGCTTTAAAAAAATACATGTAAAACTCTATCTATCTATCTATCTATCTATCTATCTATCTATCTATCTATCTAATAATCTACCTGTCTACCTATTTTTGAGAATAACTAGAACCTAGGTTCTGGAGAGGCAGAATGTAGAACTTCATAACAATAGTATTTATTATATTTGCTATTACACAAATGCACCCACCCACCCACAAATTGAGATAAAAGCAACAAAACCACAAATCTTTCCTTGAGATTTTACCTTTCAAAATAATGGTATTACACAAACATACAGTCGATTAGTGAAGTGATTCTTACTGAAAGTCCCCAAATTTTAAGGGCTCCTTTTGCCAGGGTCTACTTATGGATTGGCAGAAAGGCTATTCAAGCTTTTGTAATACAACATAAAATAAAAATTAATTAGATTCTTTTAAGTTAAATAACTAAAGAGCATTTTAGAAAACATTTTTTCCCCTGGAGTTTATTTTCCTTTGTCGAGACCTAATTTGCTTTTATGTGGCCAAAATTGCAAGGGGAATTAGGAGAGAGAGAGAGAGAAAGAACATAATTACTAGAGTTAAAGCTTACCTAGGAGTTACTACTCTCACTTATTTGCTTGCAAGAGGGTTTATGGAAGCCCTGGCCATAAATCTTAACAAGGAAATTTGAAAAATCAATATTTAATTAATTTTTAGGAGCTGAGTTTTACCGAGTACTCTTAGTTGTTTTTTTAAAAAAACTAATGTCTATCAATGAGATGGTTAGCAAATGGCTAAAGTGGAAAAATGTGTTTTATTTTTGGACTAGGAGAGGAAAGGGGAACATTAGCAAAGAGATCAGGTGGAAAAGAATGCCTTTCCAATAGGGATATATCTGTGCAAGATGAAGTCTGCGGGAGAAGAAGAAACGCTTAAAGCATCATTTCTAATAGAATAAAAATGCAGTTACAACGTTGGCAAAGGAGGAGCAGCTGAACCCCAAAGCCCTGAATCTTGACCCTTAAAACTTACCTAACTCTTAGAGGCCTCTGGCTAGCTGTCGGGGCTGCCTTTCCAGCTTTGTTAGGGGTGGGGTTGGAGGGGCTGGTGTTTTCAGATCAAAGCTCTGGTCTAAGAGTAGCCTCTTCCCTGAATTTGCTAAAGCACAGGGGAGCCGGCTGAACATTTCCATGGGGCTTTACAAAGGGTCACAGGTGTAAGTTGCCTCGGGGAGCTTGTTAAGATGCCTGTCAACCTCAAAGGCTGATTTTGCAGATCTGGAGAGGCACCCAGGAATATGCATTTTTAAGTTTCTCCCAGGTCCATCAGAATGTAGGTGGACCACACCTTGAGAAACACGGTGGGAGAGGCCAGAGTTAGGTTTTAATGGTGTCAGGAAGGAGTTATGAATAAGAACGTCCCTATTCTGATCTTTCATTATGGCAGTTTGTAGGGAGAGGGCCACACAAAGACCAACAGCAGACGGGCATTGTCATACCACTTACATAAAAGTACCCCAGGAAGCTGCCCTAGAGCACATGGTTTAGCTGTGAGGACCAGGTGTGCTCTGGAGGCCCCCAGCACTGCCCTGGACTAACTGCTGCAGGACGCAGGGCATGAACGGAGTGCCAGCCAAGGCGCTGATGTTTAAGGCACAGAAACTTGCCCACTAGTGAAAACAGTCCCAGTGAATACACAGCTCTGAGTAATTAGATTAGCAACTTCTCCTTTGGGTGGGTGGGTGGAGAGTAGGAGGTGGGCAGACAGAAGCATAATTTATTTCCATTTATTTGTGGGAGAAGATAGGAATAAATTGTACAAATTAATATGTTGACATACCCAGTTAATAAATGTATTCTGTGCTAGTTGCTTGGGAGAAAATTCAATTCCATTTATGATTTTTTTTTTTTTCCCATTTAAACAGTGGTTGTAGACAGAGATACTGGGTTGAGGGAAAAGAATATAAATATATAGGGTTTCACTATTGAAGCTTCCCTCTAAAATGTCCAAATTCTAGCAGTAGACTCTGTCATAGTCACTGGTAAATAGTGCTCCGGTGATTCTACCAGCCCAGCCCTAGATTACAAGAGTAAGGGAGAGGCTGTATTAGTTGAATAAGTGCCACACAGTAAATTCTTTTCAGATTAAAAATTTGCAAAAACAGTTAAATAAAAGGATTGGCAAGCCTAGGATGTCTTCTTAACAAAACTGTTTGCTGTTATGTTTTCCGATGTGACTCTCAAAACACCTTTTGCATCTGGAGTGGTCTGTGGTCTGTAGTGTGACAGCGAGGGCTGCGGCAGGGTTGGTGGAGCATCATGAGGACTGAGCCTTCTGAGGAATGGGTGGGAAGCACTCTCCCTAGTAAGGTAACTGCCTTGGCCACGGACTTGTTTTGTTTGGTCACAGCAATCTCAGCCACAGTGCGCCCTGTGTCGACCTCAAACAGAAGTCAGAAACTCCTTACAAAGGTATTTACTTTCGTGTGCATTTGAAATTAGAGACTTGCTTCCCTTTGGTTTTCTCACCTAATATTGGTGAATGAGTTAACAGAAGTGCTTTGGTTAGCTCAGGGAGCGCCTCCTTCCTGGCTGGGGCCTCGCTCCTCTCCCCCAGGAGGAAGCTCATTAGAACAGCATATGACAAAGCGTATTGTCCTCTTCGCAGGGACTATGGATTAATTTCACGTGACCTCTGATCAGCTGTTAACCTTGGATAACACATGCTACCCATCTGGATGGTGGTGGCCCCACCTACTGTGCCTGAGATAAGGAATCAGCAATCTTGTATCCTTCTGAGACCTATGCCTGTGGCTGTATTCCACGACTTTTAGTAAAACCTATGGGTAACAGACCTCTGTGTTTTCGGAGTACTGTTTTCCATGTCTGGAATGTCCTTCATGGTCTCAGCTTCTGTCCGTCCTCCTAGACTTACACACGCCTGCGGAGCCTTCCCCGCCCCCTCCTCCCGCCATCTTCGCTCCGGCCTGTTCTCCCCTGTGTGCTCTGTGCATGTGACTGTAGCAGCTTTTAAGGTCCCTTCAAACCTGCCTAGAGTCTCCACGAGGTTATTTATAATCTGGTACTTGGAATTCCTCTGAACATTTCACAGCAGTCGTGCGTTTCCCTGGGGAAGGACGTAGTTAGCAGTGGAGAAGGACATAACTCTCCTGCTATGGTTTTGAGGGACCGGGAATCAGTAAGTGCCTACCTGCCATTTATCATCCAAAGCTTTAAATTATTCACATTGATTTCCAATCCCTACAGATTGCATGTGATCACGTGAGCACAGACAGCCTTGCTACGGACTCCAGCCCTGCAAAGAAGCCCTGGTCGGTTTGTCTTGATGACAGGTTTGGCTTAGCTCATCAAATCCGCAACAAGCAGTGCCGTCTCTACTCTTTAGGGTGAGTACGTTTCACAGCAGGAGGAAACAAAAACACTTCTGCAGGTGGCCAAGGTCTTTTTAGCAACACAAAGTTATGAATGGGTGCAGTGTACAGCGGGTGCTATGCTCTGCCTCCTGCCGTTGTTCAGACTCACCTGTCTGTGATGTAATGTGGGTAGTTACCAATCACCCAAAGTGGCCAGGACCACTTTCTCTCTCATTGAGGGTAGTAAATTGGCAACTTCAGTTTTCAGCATAATGATGATCCTCTTGGGGAAATCAATGATTTCCAGCTAGAATTAGAGCATCCTTGTTATAAACAGAGAAAAATATTGAAAAAAAGAACAGTGAGGATATAAGAAATTTTATACACAGTTATGATGAGTGACCCAAGGCAAATGGCCATTATTGGATTTTTATGTTTCGTGCCAATGATAAATCTGGGTATAGTTTGACATTTAAAAAAGAGAGAAAAGGAACCTCTTATGAAACCATGAGACTTTGTCAAAACTGTGGGCAATGTTGATATTCAGTTATTCAGGTTGAAAATGACCCAAATGTACAAATGGATTTAGAAAACTTTTTGTAAGAGGGTGAATATAAAATAATGAAACTATTTTACCAAGTGCACCAGTACTCATTAAACAGTCCTGAACTTACAAAAACTTTTTGTAAGAGGGTGAATATAAAATAATGAAACTATTTTACCAAGTGCACCAGTACTCATTAAACAGTCCTGAACTTACAAATGATATATGTCTCAAAAAAGCAGAGTTATTTTTGTTTGGAACACCCTGTTCCATGGACTCTGTGGAAGCCTTGTGGTTAGGTTCTCAGGCCAGATCCCTGAGGTCCTTTACAAAAGCTCTGGGGACCCCAAGTGTCATATGCTTGTTCTTCACCAATAGGTTTCATTGCCTCTACGGTTTACATTCAGGCCCAAGAGTGACAGCTGCCCACCAGAATGCCGAGTGTTAGGGGCCGACATTTGGGTGATGTGGAGTCCCACCCAAAGGTGCTGATGCCTGAATGATCATTGCTTGTCAAACCTTACCCAACAAGAACTCTTGTGGATTTTAAAACAATAACACACAAATGTTTCAAATAAGAGTTTCAGGATAACAGAAACATTCTTCCATGGGTTAAATGAAGAGTAATGGTGTCTATCAGTGGAGCTTGATAAGCTATAAGCACGCAATATATATTTGCTACATAAATGATTGCTGGAGGTAAGGAGACAACGGAGGGAAGCTGACTACGCTGTGATTTAAACTCGGAGGCTTGAGGATTAGGAAATAAATCGCTCAGCCAGTTGATTAGGACAGAGTTCTTTTGTTGGGAGCCCACCGGCTCTGCTTCAAGATCATAGGGAGAATGGGAAGTTGTGACAGGAGAGTTTATTTTATGTCATATTAAAAATGCATGAAAGTAGGTCATAAAAATAATTGCAGAGTACCACATGCAAACTGGAAATCTCAGCTTGGTCTTATGTTCTTGCTCCAAACTGCCTTTATAATTCGCTTAATATTTTACACCCTGGAATAATTTTATTTAAAGCACAGAACCAAATAAAATGAAACTGAGAAAGCTGTTTTCGGAGGCATTTTAAAAATTCATTTTTGCTTTCCTTATCCTTCAGAGCCATTAGATAAGGTAATTCTGCTGTAAGATTTCAGATTATTACATGCAAAAATGTGGTTTCTTATTTTCACTTAAATGTTCACTATTCAAAATCAACTTTGTAAAGAGCAGATAAGAACAGTTGACTTCCACTGGAAACAGAAATGAATAGATGATGAGGACCAACATTTGATTCAAAACCTGAAGATGCTTAATTGAGAACTGGAAACTAAAGAAATGATTTCTTATGCCCCCCAAAAGGAGGCTTTGGATTGCGGATGTGTATGCTGATCACACTGTTACTCAGGACTTAGGGTCCAGATGAGCATGCCCCCTTTCTCAGGCGAAGTGCTTGCTTGGGGTGCATGTAACAGCAGCTGACAGACAGCATTTACGTTGATGCTGAAGGAAGGAGGAAACCCAGGGCGGAAGTGGTGCTCCTGGAGTGAGGTGCATGGGTTCCTAGCGCTGGGAGCATCGGGATAGTTGTGAGATGGGTGGGGAGGGCAAATGGCAGGTGGGTCATATGGCCGCTACATCCAGGCAGTATGAGCTCCAAGCCCCAGGGCTGCGGTAGCAGCAACAGCGTGCCACTGCTGTGCCCTGTCATTTCCATCCTAACTGAGGGTCACCCTCCTGGAGTGAGAGGGAGGAAGGGACCTGATGACACAAGGATCTGAGGACAAAGGCTCACTGCCCTGCCTTCTGGTCTGTTTCCTGCCCTTCCTCCACCCCCAAGAACTGGAGCAGGTATCACCTACCTCCACTTTCTCTCTGAAGTTTCTTTACTGGGAGCCAAAGCTTTTATTTTACAGTTAATGCAAACTACTTTTTTGGGGAGGGGGGGGAGAGTACACTCTGTGTGAAGGTCAGTTGAAAATTAAAATCAGATCCTTTTCAGTTTTGAAATGAGTAGATTAGACTGATTAGGACAGAAAAGGCACTGAAAAGGAACATGGTGTTATGGAGAAGGGGACCGAGAAGATAAACCAGAGGCTGTGGGTTCAGATGAGATTATCATCTCCCGCAGAACTTCAGACAGGTCAGCCCTGCAAGTCGTCCCGGGTGCAGAGTGGAGGGGTGATGGTAGGAACTGGTGGGGAGCTGGGGGCTGAGGGAGGTAGGGAGAGTGAAGTGGGAAGAATCACCTAGTTCATCCTTCATGTGAAAGATTGTATTTCAGGGGCAGGAGAGACAGTGTAAGGGAACGCTTGAGGTGGGATCATACACAGGCAAATGTTTCTCATCTCTTCTTCAGTTCTCTGGGGGGTTGCACCATTTGGGTTGAAGACATCAATTCTTAGCATAAGACAGAAGAAGGTTTGATGGATGACACATGGTTAGGCAACAAGAACATTTTATACAGAAAATCTGGGACTTCTGGTGGCTGTGAGCACTTCAAGAGCAATGACTGAGCTCCATAGCCAAAACTTTTCATCTTATAATAGTTTAATTGACACAAGAGCTCGTAGTATATATGAATGAGGAATCAGAAAATCATGGACCCAAGGACACTTTTTAGATAAATTTTTTCCTCATCACCTCCATGAAATGTTAAACCGTAGATATACTATTATCTGTTTATGTAGCATACATATCTGTCCTTTATATGGAAAAAGAGGATGATGTTTCTGCCCCCAAGAATAAATTCTTTTCTCTCTTAGAGGTGAGATCACCCCTGTTGAGGATATATTTTTTAACAATCTTGGCATTTTATGCAATCTCATTTAATAAAAATTATTAATTATAAAATATTTTTATCCATTATTCAATGTCCTTTATGCTTTGGAAAACCTACATCTCTGACTCTAGTAGTTGGCAGTAGATAGATCTAATTCTAATCATTTTAATAATTCGATACTAGATAATCCAGTTGTCTGTATCAGGCTAGATGATCGTCTGTGCAGTTTCTGTGGCTCCTGCTGGGATGAAGGATGGACCCTTTTCCTGGGGAAATGCTAATTGTCATACTTCCTTCAGCCCTTCCACCCGCAGTGGTGTGGGTTAAAAACCTTCCCTTACCTGCTCTGATTTTTATTTTAAAAATTTTTAACAGCTTTGTTGAGATATAATCTGTATACCACACAAGTCACTCATTTAGTGTACAGTTCAATGGTTTTTGGTCACTATAGTCATTTTTATCACCTCCCCCAAGAGAAGCCTTGTACCCCAGTAGCAGCCATTCCCAATTTCTTTCCAACCCTCTTCCCACCCCTCATTTCACCTCATAGTCCTAGGCAACCACTAATCTACTTTCTGTCTCTATAGATTTGCCTATTCTGGACATTTCATATGATTGGAAGCATAGAATATGTGGCCTTTGGTGACTGGCTGTTTCATTTCACATACGTTTTTGCATAAGTTTATAACATGTATCAGTTTTTCATTTCTTTTAATTGCTAAATGATATTCCATTGTATGGATGTACTGCATTTTATTTATCCAATCATCAGTTGAGGGACATTTGAGATGTTTCTACTTTTTGGCTATTATGAATATGTTGCTATGAAAATTCATGTGTAAGTTTTATGTGGACATTTGTTTTCATTTCTCTTGGATATATACCATTTTAAATTCCCACAAGCAATGTATGAGGGTTGCAATTTCTACACGTCATTGCCAATGCTGATTATTATTGGTCTTTTTTATTATAGCCTTAAAAAAGATAGCCACCTTATTGCTAGTCTCTAGTGGATGTGAAGTGGTATCTCACTGAAGTTCCAATTTGTTTCTTTCTATTGGCTAATGATCTTGAGGGTCTTTTAAAAAAATTTTTATCCTCAACAGAGGATATTTTTCCATTTGTCATCAGATAGAATGGGAGGAAGGGAGAGAGAGAGAGAGAGAGAGAGAGAGAGAGAGAGAGAGAGATGGAGAGAGAGAAACATTGACGTGAGAGGGACACATTGACTGGTTGCCTCCTGCACAATCCCAACCAGGGCCGGGAACTAACCACAACTGAAGTACCTGCCCTTGACTGGAATCGAACCCAGGACTCATTGGTCTGCGGACCAACACTTTAACCGCTGAGCAAAACTGTCCAGGGCTTGAGTATCTTTTTATGTATTTATGCCCTGAGTTTTTGATTCCTGGGGAACATGAAGGACACTCACCTTAGTACTCTTAAGAATACTTTTAAAAGAATAACCCAGTACCTGAAACAGTGCCACATTCATCCCTTCTACCCTTAGGTAATCATTCTGCCACACCAGATTAGCTCATGGAAAATTTAGTGGAGATTACAATGTTCTGAACTGTGTGGGTTCAATAGAAGGTTGAAAATAGGAAACAGGATCTCTTGGTAAAAGAACGAGAGAGTTTGTGAAAGGAGTGATGGATCTAGGCTGAAAGGATAGAGAGAATTGTAGCTGAGGGATAGCAGAGGTTGACGTGCATGGG